AGTAAAGGAGGATAAAGAACTGATAATAATCCTCGTGCTCCTCACATGAACTCCAACAAGGCATTTGAATGAGACTTTTAAAGCTGTAAATTGTCCATCAAAACACAGAATAACTTTTGCTAATCCTTGTGCCACAAATTACTAATCCATCTGGAAAGCTATTTTTTTGCATAAGAATCTAAATGTCATCAGACAGAAAGACAACTAGGTTAGTAGCATGCTAAAAAAAAGAAAAAAAAAAAAGACAGAAATAAAAACTCTGAAGCAGTTGACCACAGAATAAGTAGGATTTGCAGAAGTACTTACAGCTCTCAATCTCCAGCGTGCAGTTCTGCTCATCCAGCGGATATCTCCGTAGGTCCATCATACACGCAGCTGTTGTTGTAATTCTAGGAAGGGAAGAGAAGAGCTTGTTAATGTGCCTTGTTCCAATCCTTCCTTGATCGCCCAGAGTTGAAAGAAGGAAATGTATTTCTACGTAACTGACGCTCTTGCCTATTTTTACTGAAATACCGTGTCTGCTGCTTACTTGTAACTATATGCTGTTCTAAGAAGGTTATGCCAGTCTGGTGGGCGAGCAGAGAGCTTCCCCTTTACACACCATTATCACAGTACCGTAAGCTTTAATAATCAGCAATCAATTTATCCTAAGAAAATGAAGCATGAATTAGGACAGCAGTATTTCTTTCATTTTATAGCGGAGGACTTCAAGCCAAAAAAGAAACGCTCAAAGAAAGGTGGCACAGGAAATCTAAAGAGGAACAGAGAAAGACACAGACTTCGCTTCCTGGGTTAATACCCTGATCCCTTCATGAAACTTAGTTCTTCTTCCTTCTGTTCAATAGTGCTTTGTAAGTGAAGTATTATTTTATCTTCATGTTAGAAAGCAAACATTTTCAGGACCGTTTTCACAAAACATTTAGACCATATTTGTGCCTCCAGATTTCACCAAACCTACTAACATTAACATGTGTCAAGTGCGCCTTTTAGATGTTGAGAGAAACATCTGTACTCTCAATCAATCTTTTGCTGATAAACTTCATGGAAGAATATGACCCTGAGCTGAATATGAACCAAGGCACAGTTCTCAGCAGCATTTTATTAAATGTGTTCTCATCAAGTCTTCTTAATGTGTAGAAAAAAAATCAACTCTTAATCCCGTCCCCCCCCACCCCGAGCACGTTATGTAACTCTGTAGTAATTAAAAAGTATTGCAATTTGGAAACTGCCAACAGTCAAAATAGTATGTCCTGCACATACTCCACATAGGACCAGGTGCAGATTTAGTGCACAAGCTGAGAGGTTTCTAGCCTTTCTTCTCTCCCCCTCTACCTGGTAAGAGCCCTTCTCCTACAGCTGCCAGAGCCTGGTGATCTACACAGGCTCCTCGGAGTAACAAGGATCTTCTCCTGTGTGTTAGGTACAGCTGGCTGGCCAACTGCATCTGGGGAATCTGCTGCCACACCAGCCGAGAAATGAGAGCATCGCACAGCAGCCAACTGTACGAGCTTCCTTTGAGCTGAAGGCTGACCAAATGATTTAGCTCAGAGCACAAAGTGCAAGATGATGTGGGCGTGCCTGCAGAAGGGGACCCAAGCGGGCAGATGGAGGGCCTACAGCACAGGCAGACACCGTGCCACCCGACAGCACCAGCAGCTACATCCCTCCGGGGCGCTCATGAGAGACTGGGTGACCAACAGTCGTCTTCTCAAAATCCTGTTCCCCTGTATGAGGGTTACTGGCCTTTCATAGTCAATATTTAGACTGTTCAATAAACTCTTTAAAAAACTTCTTTTACATTCTTCAATCTGACAACAAGACAGAGAACTCTTTCATTTGATGGACCTCATTCTTTCTCCTTAAATACCTAGTAAGGGTTCGTTAAAAGCAGAAAACTACAATTGCCCGAGAGGCTCAAAATTCACTCAAAATTGACTCCAGCAATCCTTTCCACAAGGCACTTCAGAAACATTGAAGCTATACAATCTTTTCATTAGCATCCTTACTGTCCTCTCTAACAACGCTTTACTGTCATTTCCAGAAAAAAATCCCTGAAAATTTCATCAAAGAAAAGAGAACAGAAGTAGGGGCAAGTTATTCCTTTAAACACTTCGTAAGTCCTACCTCTTTCTTGTCAGTCTAGGCAAGATCCCTTCATGTTACATTTGACCATTCGTATGTATCGGGCTCTCAGAGACAAGGAACACCTTTGGGCACCAAGTTCTTTCTTCAGTCACTACATGGGTACTCACAGAATAGCTTTCGAAAACATATTGTTTTCAATCAGTGTGGGTGACCGCAGATGCTTCAAAAGCAAGCTTCCTGGGGTGGGCAAAGGCGGGCGAAAAGAATCCTTTGGCTCCCCTCAACGGGAGTCTTCCAGCTTTCAACAAAACCAGACTGCTGAGGAATATATGTTTGTTGATAGCAAATGCAAATGGGGAGCAAGCAGCAGCACATGTTGTTAAAAAAAAAAAAACAAAAAGCAACACCTCCTGGCAGTTCATACTTGGTTCCTTATTTTTAAATTTGGAGGAAAATGAAGAAATTTCCCTGATCCAGTATCAATGCAAGATTGATTATTTCGGAGAAAACTTCAGGAACGGTGTAGCGAGACCACAAAAAAATTACAGCTCATGTTTTTTGTTTGGTTGGGATTGTTGGTGGGGAGGTTTGTTGTTTTGTTTTGTTTAATACCCTCAGTATTTCCATATCCACGTGTATGTTATAGTCATAGTTTTAGAAGAATTTCAGTAGTTCACAGAGGAAGAGGCAGGAGCACAGACTTAAGCCAAGGTTTAAGCGCACAAAAGAATCGTGGTAAATACTAACCTATTGGACTACTACGTTTCCTAATACCTTTCTCTGCACTAAACACATTCTTCCTACCAGAGCCTATTAGGCCAGGGGCTTCAACGTGGAGACAAAACCACACCTGTGCCATCCTCAGCAAAGCGCCCGTTCATACTGAGGGTGGAGCTGAGCACTCACAATTCTCGCCTCTCTTCAGTAGGATTTTTGGGTGCAACAGACGCCACAAAAGGGGCCAAAGACTGCAGCCAGCTAGGATAAAAGCTCTGGAGGGAACGTTATCAAATCATTAAAAGACACAGTGCCTTACCTCATCAGAAAGTAAAGGGGAAAAAAAAGTGGCACAGCAATGAAAATGATTGGTAGAGCAGAGTTTTAATCAAGCCAAAACAGCAGTTTTGAATAATGTATTTAATTCAACTCGCTTGTTCATTCTTATCCGTAATGCAAATCCACTGAAATAAAATAAGAAGTCTGTCCTTTCCTCTCTTCGTACCTCCCTCGTATTTTTACCCTGACTTTTCTCACATTTATGGTAAAGTAGAAAAAGTTCTTTTTCATCTTCAAAATTATTTAAACAAGAAAACTACCTCCTGATAATTCTTCGTGGTTTGCAATTCACGGGCAATAGCTAAACCAAATTACCAATGCAAGAGCATGCAAGAATTACCGCCTTAGAAGACTTTTAAGTCAAGACACACGACCTATACCTTTTCAGACAGAGGAAGGAACAGCAGTTCATTATAGCAGTTAGGGATGCTTGAAGCAGGGATAAAGCCTCTTCCCCAGAGCAGAGCTACTTCAATTTTCATAAAGGGATTAAAAATACAGCCTGGACTAGTGCACAAAATTTAACATTGTATTTTGCATAATGTAACCTTGAGAACAAACAACGAAAAGGTGAAAGCTTTTCAAAAACAGTACTGTGACTCAACGCATTACAGACATTAGGGATGATAACAGAATAACAGTACTCTCGGAGAAACACCGTATGAAATGAAGCGCATTACAGAACTGTCTCATACGCTAACATTTTCATCTGCTGTTAAAGAAAGAGAAATCTTGAGATATTTTATTTTACGATTCCTAACAATGCAAACGAGTCTTCAGCTTCCTCTTTTATGATCTATATTTTGAATGTAGACTGATTATGGAGCACGAAAAAAAAGCAGCAAACCCTGAAGCCCTAAACTGACTAAATAAAGTATTATGAAGTAGACCTAAAGAAAACTTCATGTGTCAAAACAAGCATAGCTAGAGTGCAAAGAAACCTGCACCACAACTAACTTGCAGGGAAAGTAAAGTCTGCTGTCAGTAATTCAAAATAATTCAGATAAACTATTATTTCTGAGAAAGCTGAAAATCTGCCCTTGTCTCCAAACCTTTGGGGAGGTTCTAGGATTCAAATAAGAGCTGGAAATTGGCACTGCTCCTTTCACAGGCCAAAGTTGAAGGCCAGAAAGAACTTCTTTAAAACACTTCCAAACTTAAAGTGATGCAGAAAATAATACCCGTAACAAATACTCTCCCAGCATGGCTAATAGTTCTTATTTTCAGTGCTATGTAGGGGACAGTTTTTCAAAATCCCATAGATTTTGCTCTTCTGACAAGTTCGAGTGGGATTTGAAATTCAAAATAGCAACTTAAATAGTTCGGACATCACCAGTGAAGAAAGAAACGGCACTGAAAGACAGGAGAGCAATGCTCATGATACGTGGAGATGGACAGAATCCAGTTCCCTCTCGGAGATGCAGTGGCTCTGCAAAGCTATGGGGAATAAGCAGCAACAGAAACTTATCTCTGCCCTAGAAGGAAGCAGCCCTGACCTGTAATTACAGGATTACAGACACAACAGAAATGATGAGCAAGAAGGTGACAATTTCAGATAGCTCCTCTGAGTAGAGTGGTAGTAGGAGAACTATGAAACGCTCTCTTAACTCTAGCACTGACAGATCGTGATCCTATTGAGTCAGAGACAGAGCTGGAGCCCAGGAAAATACAAAGTCTGATTCTTTCTTTAAACGTATGCACATACATCCTATCGAAAGCAGTGCGAGATTCGGCTTCAGATTTGCGTATCTGAAGGCAGACTGACTCCTCATTATCAATATCAAGAGCAATCCAAAGAGCTTGCAAGGATACCACGCTCTATAATAGACTGCATCTCTTTATCACGGACTTCATAAAAATCCTCTGCACACGCTGACTGGGAGTCACAAACTCTCTGACTTAGTTACTGAAACCACGTACTGCAGCTAAACCCACTGTTCACTGCTGCTTCTTGGAAGCAGCCCTCTGCGCGACAGTTGGAAACATCGGTGGCGGCAGCAGTCAGCAGAACCAATTTCAAATACGTGGAAATCTGGGAACAAAACTGTAATGGGATAAATCTGTCTCCTGAACAATAATATTGGATTTAGACATATGTGTCAAGGTTGTTAGACATACTAACAGATCTACTTTTAAATTAAAGTAGATTTATTGCTAATTATAGAGTTCACAGAATTCTTCCTCCTTCTGCTTATTCACACAAAAGATAAGCTTCCCTGGTGTGATCACAGGTTAAGAATTGGCTTTA